GAGCGTGTCACCCAATAGGTTCGCGAGAACAGCGCCCAAGAGCAGATCACCTGGGACGAGCTCAAGATTCCCGGAAGACGGGACAGAGCTCATAAACTTGTCAGAGATCAGATCAAAGAAATAGATAGGTACGTGACAAGTCGGATATGCAAATTGCTTGCGTGCTCGCCCGTATCTACTCATCCGTTCAATTCGACGTCGGCGTCGCTTCCGTACGACGCATTCTTCCGATACTCCGCTCCGTGCTCGGGGATGAGTAAGAGAGCCGAGACGGGCGGCTTCATCTTATTTTGTTTCCTCCGTATTCCTCTAGTTAACCGGATGGCAGGCTACCCGACTGGCTGGCTGCGAGCTTCCTTCCGCCGTCCCATTCTTTTTTCTCCTGACGTTCTCCTATATTCTGTCCTCGAAATTCCCTTAGCACCCAAGCCGTTCCGCTCGGGTCTCCAAAGCGTAAATTATGCAAAACAGACTGGAACACGGGCGGACGAACAGCGAACAGACGGTGCTGACGGGCGGACCCATGAGCGAACAGTCGGGCCGATGGACGGGGAAGCGGACAGACGGAGAAGCCCCGTCAGATAACGATCATTTCCTTCTTTTTCGGTGCCGATCCCCCCGGCTGGCACCGAAGACAAACTCATCGGGTCCCATCGTCTCGAGTGGACCCAAGACGATGAATTTCTGTTCGGGCATCTAGCACGCGCTGCATGGGACCCGCGTGGAGCGGTACGGTGAGTGTTGTGGATGGGCTAGTTGTTCGTAGAGGCGCCTACTCCCACCTGGCTCCTATTCGGGCATCATTTACAATTCTACAGAGAATCCACGCGGAAGCTTCGTTTGCATATTAGCTATCCCGTAATCATGCGAAAAGGTCTCACTCAGCAGCGGAGTCTCTGCAATGAGATACGGGGGAGCACTCACGGGAAAACCGAGAAATCGCGAGGATAGCTACATAGAGTAAGGTTGTTGTTGTTGTTGTGCAGCTCTGGCGGAATTCAGCGTAGATGAAACTTGCCAGTTCCCCGTCCCCCGAGGTAACCCGATACCCCGACAACGATCCGCTGAGATTGAACGCTCGTGAGAGGGAACACAATTATATTAATAGTTCGCGACGGAGTCGGCTCATTGGAAGTTCGAGGAGTCGGAGCCCAGATGACCCCGAGACGGGACGGTTCTGTGAGGCTGCTGACTAATCGAGCGCTCACAGGGCACTCTAGTCTCCTGTCAAGCGGACGACGATTGCGAAACGCTTCCGTAGACGGTGGGCCTCTCGACATATGGGTCTCCAGTTTGGAATATTCATGCATATATCACAATTTCATCGGAATGAGCGTCTCCATCAAATTCGACGTTCGTCGTGAGACTGATCTCGTCATTCGGGAGTCGGAGCACGTCATGACATACAGCGCGAACAGGGGAAGTGAGGAAACCGTGTGAGGAGGGGGAGCAACGAGCAGCAACGAAAACGTGCCCCGAGGGCACCGAAGTTGAACAAGGAAGAAACGTAGACACGACGGCAGACTAAGAGAGTTGCAGGCCAGCAGCCTATCCGCGACACGGTACCACGAGTACTGGGGTACGAGGAAAAGCGACAGACTTGAAGAGAAGCAGACAGGCTCTGACCAGCTCGCCGAGACAAGCAACGGAAGATGATGAGACTTTTTCGAAGGAGCCCCGCGCAACAAGAGGAATTTCTCCGGAGTCGCACCTCCCGTGCCCTGGTACGAGAGAATGCCGAGATCTCAGGATGCTGTCTGGATCAACCTAATCCCTCCCTACGATCCTCGAATCAATCACAACATTTTCTTTCCTGATTGGGGCAAAGTCCGGCATTCCGTTTGGAGACCGGGTGGGAAAAGACGACGAGAAAAATGGAGAATCGAATTCCACTCTCGGAACTCTTCCGCAATATCTGTCTTTTCAGAGGCTCTTCCGCTTCAGAAGTAGGGAACGAGGAAAGAAATGAGACTTTGCTTTTTTCCCACCGAGCAGCAGGGAATTGCCCCAGGCTCCGTGGATATATTTTCCGCTCCGATTTCATCCTGATCCAGGAAAAGGATAAGACAAGTCCTCTACCATATCTTGGGCTGATGCATGCTGGCATGTTATTTCGTCAAAAACGAAGGGAAGACTCGAAGCGATGACCTCTGGTGGGCGAAGTCGTCTGAAACCCTCCGGAAATCGTGGATTGCGACGGCGGGATCGCTCTGCGGCTCTCGCCAAAACTCATTCGCGGAAATCGGTGCGGGTATTGCACGAATCGGAAACGGACCAGTCTAGCTGTATACATCTCGCTTTGTCCTCCGACTCTGTTCATCGGAGCTGAAACGACTTTTGATGTCGATGGTGGCATCGCTGACATGGCTCTTTCCTTCCTCGCAGCTGTGACCCGGGAGTCCCGCATCCGTATAGCGGTATCCTCTCAATTTTTCATAATAAGACGGCGCGGAGATGCTTCTGGTTGCATCCAGTCTGCGTTTTTCAGCCGCAATCGACGATGTAATGAGCAATCCATTTTCATTCGGAGCTCGAGCTCGGTCGCGGCGGCGCGCTGCAGCAGGAAAACGAGGCTGCTGACGGATCTATGTATGTGTACGGACGCGGGGAAGCAACCTCATCCTTAGCGAATCATGCAGGTATGTCCTGTATCTTGAGTCATGAGTCAAGACTCATGAGGTGATCAGACTTCTAGGGTTCTACCTAACTCCTTCCTCCGCGTTTCCATGAGGGTATGAAGTCCGTTGTAGGTTCAGAAGAAGGGTTGATAGGGTCCACGAATTAGTTTCATGCATTTCGCGTATCGATTGCCGAACAATGGAGACAACGCCTAACCTTCCCCAAGCACCGGTGAGTCGGGTCGCTTCCCGTCAATGCATCGGTTTCCACTCGACGGAGAGCAAAAGACCGCCCCCTTGATTTCTGATGCGGACGCAACTAGTCGTGCGGGAGCATTCCCTGTTTTTGTGAACAATTGATTCTCCGATCCCGTCGTCGATTCATCCTCCCTCCTCCGGAGGCGGCGTGGGAGTTTTCCGTTCCTTGAAGACGTCAACTGGCTTGCTTACAACACGGAGAAACAATCGCAGCCTGCGTGCGAGGGTCGTCCAAGTCTCTCGAGACCTGCTGCTCGGGCGTATTGAGATTCGATCTCTGGCTTCGTCTCTAACTGTAAGTCTAATATTGGAGTAGGATCACGATGCATTTCTCACGACTCTCGAGCGCTCGGGACTTCGGAAGAGGAGGGGATCGTGCTGGGGAATTTTCGGGACCGTCTCCTCGCCGGCTCTGGTTTGAGAGTTAAGTCCACGAGCAGAAACGTTCCCAAATTCTTCATCTGAACCTTGGCCATAGCTCCCGTTCGAACTTCCTCGCTTGCAACTCTATTGACTCCGCCCTCAAAACGAGTCGGTAGCTGAGGTACCTCGAAAACGGCGGACAATAGACCGAATTTTGCGCGCTGTCTGCTGCTGCCGAGGCGCGCGACTTGGAGCTTTCTTTTGTTGTCGTCACCCAGCCCGAAATTTCACCACTCGACTTGAATTTGTTCACAGCGACCACTCTGAAAGCGTTGGATTCTCCTGTCCTGCGTTCGCAATAGAACTTCATGAAACTGCCGAAAACTAGAAAGCCGCTTGTTTGCGTCTCTTTGCATTTTTCGAAGCGCGGAATTTGGAGTGTCCGCGGTACGACAGGGAAACGGGTAGAGCTCCCACAGACCTTGTCGATGTCCGACCTCCTCGCTTCTTCCGAAGACCTCCCGTCAACAGAAAGCATCTGTCGTGAAACGTCTACAATATCGAGTGGGGGCGCGTTCAATGTACTTCATTCGGTTACCATCCAGTTGACCGATATTGCTTGACCGAAAGCATTTGACCGACCGCATCGAAAGTAAATATCGTGTGCAGTCTCGATAAAAAGCACTGGTGCCACCGGCATTGGACGCACATCTACAATACCGTTTCGTCTGCTGACTCGCATCTCTACGCTCTCATCCGAGCCTCGTCCTCTCATATACGAGCATCGAGCATCTTCCTACTAGATTACACAGCAAGTGTTGGAACATGACTTACAGTATAGTTTCGATACATTTAATGTTCGGGCCTCGACGACGGCATTGCTCCGGGGGACGAATTGAGAGATCAAATGTACCCAAGTTGAAGGAAATTTGGGCCCTGTATAATTCTACGGCAGCAGGGATCGAAACCGCGCCTATTCCCGCGCGAATGAAACCGCGCTGCTGCGGGCTTGCACTTAGGATGAGCGGAAGGCACAGCATGAGAGTCAGACGCGCTAACAATTAGACCATCCGCCTGTGTCCTGTCCAAGGGCTATTATTATCTATCATCGATTCACTTACTCCGATCGACATTTTCCTCCCCGAAGGAATCCGAGCCCATCGTTGGAGTCCACTGTCATGAGCATGAGACGAGAGAAATCATCAGACGAACTGCGATCCAAGAAATGAAAGACCGGGCAGTCGCCGAGCCCCAGAAAAGCGGAAAACGAGTGTAGATGGAAGTGGCAACATCGTTTACTCAGCACTTGCGGGCAACGCATGATGACTAAGAAATCGGTGCTTCGCTCCCGTCATTTTCCAGCGCAGCCTCTATCTTGTACCGCGCAAGAGCCAGCGTGCGCCCGCCACTCCCGGAATCTCGAGCCGCGATTGTTCTCGGAGACGCATGGACGAGGACCATAGACGGGCAGAACTTCCTCATCGTGGACGACGGTACAGGAGACCGGATCCTTGGTTCCTCTACGGTTCAACTGGTGATGGAACTTTGTTCGGCTTCGGTAATATATATGGGGGGAACATTTTGCGTCGTGCCAAAGCTCTTCCTCAAGCTCTACATGTACTCTCCACGCCTTCTACAAAGGCGAAATGATTCCTATGGCATTTTTTCCGACTTCCCAATGAGCAGAAGGAAACCTAGGGCAAAATGTTCTCCCTGCTCAGGAGTTACGCTCTGACGATCGGCGTGACTTTCAACCTACAGGGCTCCAACTTGACTTCGAGGTCGCCACACTCAAAGCGATTGAAGAGTGCTTCCCACTGACCACCGTGAAAGCGTGCATTTTCCATTTCGCGCAGTCTCTCTGGCGCAAGGTCCAGGACCTGGGACTCAAACAGTACTACAAGGCTCCTAACGTGGAGAAGCTCATAAGGTCTGTCCTGTCCCAGATCGATAACGCTTGGCTTGACATCGGAGCCAAAGCCCCATTCTCGGATCATCCAGCGCATGCTGCCCTAGAGTAATCTAAAGAGTACGTCATCGGCACTTTGCTAGAGAACGCGGCCGTGTTCCCGCGCAGTCTGTGGAATCACTTTCGCAATTTCGGAGCCAGAGATACAAATCATCTTGAGGGTAGGCACCAGGGTTCGAACCGTGGTGTCGGTCGATCGCATGTCAACATATTCGAGATGATCACCTATTTCCAGGAACTTGAGCTGGAATCTAAAACCCGGATGCTCAGCCTGAGTATGGGACCAAAGCCCCACGCTGCAAAGAAAAGATATGTCGAGGCGAATAATCGTCTCATTCGCTTAAAGGGAACATTACGAACTGCCCCACGCCGATTTTTCTGAAACTTTGCCCAAATAATTGTCCCACCGAGAGATGAAGAACCCTCACCATGCGAGCTGCCAACGCTCGATAGGGACAGAATGAATCCGAGGTGTATTTCCAGGGTTTTTCACCGTATAAGGGTGTTTTTTCGAAGAGGAGATTCAAGAATGATGCCAGATAATTTGGAAAGCACTCTGCCCGAGAAAAAGGGAGCCGACTGGACCTCCCGGCTCCCGGGCAATAGAACGACCATATATTCATTGCGCATTTTCGTTGCAGAAATGATAATCGACATAGAAACACTTGACACATGGTGTCTTTTTACAACAGCCACAGATTATGAACGGCCGCAGCGAACAGCTCGCCGATGAACACGCTTCGTTCGCATCGGAGAGCATCTCTGCCATGCTCGGAAATTCTACCCGTGGGGCATCGAAACCGCTTCTAGGCCGGACACCCAGCCACATCGGTCGGAATTGCGGATGACAAACCTGATTGAATATCAAGGACTGCAACCGGGGAACATCATTTCCAAGAAGGACTAGCAGTGAACTCTGCCCGAGCTCCCTAGCTTTAGTGAGCGCCCATATCCTCAACGTTCTGTCATGCACGATCAGGCCATACGCGCGGGCGGAATCAAACGATTCCTTACAATACCGCGCGACCTTCACATAACGTTCGCGGAGCGTGCCGAGGTGCTCCCTGTACTGCTTGAATCGTCGGATATAACCCCTGTCCCTGACTCTCCTGAATGTATGTTGAATCGAAGCGATTCAGTACCTCCTGTGTTGGTCAATGAAGTCGAGCACCTTGCAGATGTAGTCGTACGAGAAGAGGTCGTTCGAAACGGCATCGTATTCGTCTTCGGAGACAGAATCATACTCTTCTCCGACATGGCTCGACTCAGAGTCCGTCAATCTCTCCCACTGTGGCTTCGCCTTGATTCTCGAAACCTTTCACTGAACTGAAGATGTTCTCAGCCAACTTGACGGTACTTGGTTCCGCATCGTCGCCGGCACTCTCGTTCAGACTCAAGGCATTCAAGTGTCTTCGAAGCAGAACTAACAACGATTCCGCGGACACTGACATTGCTGAGATCATTGGAGCAATCCAGAACTGCTCAAACTGCGATCTAAGCGACTCGCGCGGAAACCGGTGCGATTCTTGGAGCGCAGACGTTCCGTGTGAACACAACGAAGTTCTCCCGAATCCGCTCGGACTGTCGCTCTGTGGCGCGCTTTTCAAACACGAGAATTTCTGTTTTCCGAATAATCAGGCATCAATCTTGAACCTCTTCTTCGAAAAACACCCTTATACGGTGAAAAACCCTGGAAATACACCTCGGATTCATTCTGTCCCTATCGAGCGTTGGCAGCTCGCATGGTGCGGGTTCTTCATCTCTCGGTGGGACTATTATTTGGGCAAACAGAAAAATCGGCGTGGGGCAGTTCGTAATGTTCCCTTGTTAGTCGAACCATACGAAGCCGATGAGATTACATTGTGCGACTTCGTCCCAAGTTGCCGTCAATCTCAAGTTCTAATATGATCGAATTAAAACTATACGGGCCTCTCCATTCGTACCTACTCTTCCTGAGTAATTCGAAATCATAGCACGACTACGAGATCTTCTAGAATAAACTTGTGAGAAACTCGTGTTTGAAATCGAGCTTGCGTTCGTTCTCCCCCTCGAAGGCGTCGCCCCTCAGCTCTGGGTCCTGGAAATTTTGTGGCCTGCATACACAAATCTCGGTAGGGCTCGATTCGGACAAGCAGCTCCGGTCAAGCGGCTTCGGGCAAGAGGTTTCGGTCAAGCGGTGTCGGCCAGGCGGGGTGTCGGTTATGCGGTGTCGGTAAAAATTACTCGGTCATCTGCATAGTCAGCGGTCCGAGACCCCCGTGCCGCTAGTGGATTAGGGTCTCAGTCCACGGAAAAGGTTTCATTTCGAAAGGAATGGTCTGCCACATTCAGAAACATTTCACATTTGTTCGCGGCGCTCTTCTCGGTGCTCGGTTCGCTGTCATGATAATCTCCGTAAGTCGTACTTAAAATAGCTCCGGGATTCATTCGCAATGAGAACATAATCGGCAGCCAGTCGCGATTACCCACGACCGTCCATTGTCGACCATCGGTGCCTGAGATGTATCCCTCCCCCCTGCGACAACGGAGTGGTACACGCCTACTCTCCAAGACTCTTCGCTATCGAAGGTTTATTGGCGATGGAGACGAACTCTGGTGGTTGGTTGGCATCGTCTATGACATCGAGCATCGAGGCTCCTCAAAGTTTCAATTGTCGCGAACGAAACGAGCTGTACAGTTGGTGGACAAAACTAGGAAAATGGTTGCCCTCAATCCATGGACTCACTTCGTCGACAGCCTCATAAACTGCGAAGGAATGCCCGTCCTGATTTTGAACGTCTTGGTGTAGGACTACAATATTCGCAGGACCCTCACGAGCACGAGTGATACCGTCTCAAGCAAGAGCGGCGATGAAACAGCCCAAGCTCTGAACAGCTTACACCAATGGTGGACCGTAGGAGGACCAGACACCGATTTAGAGGAAGTAATAATGCAAGAGTCGCCGCCCTCCATCGATGGATAGACAGAAACGGTCCGTCGGAGCTTTGAACCTTTGAACTGAAATAAAATAGTCTCGGTTTTCGTTTCGAAAACTTGTGCGCTGGGGAAGATATCAGACTCTCTGAGATACCACTTCGATCTCCATCCGGAGAACTTTACACATGAGGCGAATGGATTGGAGCAATATGGAAAATAGGGGGTCTACCAGCTCCTGCGAAGGCGGTTTGGGGGTCCAGCTGCTATTCCGAGTTGGCCACCGCTGTACTAGAGGACCAAGATCGAAGAGACTCGCAGGTGATTCATAGTGGTTGAGAGAAAGAATCACAGATGCTTGACTGATGAACATTCCACACGATACCGTCACATTGGACGCCCCTCTTTCCACCATTTATGTTGACCCAATAATGAGGGAAAGCACACAGTTCAGCAGGACCGCCGGGGATTCCGCGCGGGGTTTCCTCTCTGCTCTGGAAATACACTTGTAGGTATTCGTATCTCTGTCCACAGATGTGAGATTCGTAACTTGTGCTTGAAGCCTTGATTGATTCAGTAGGAGTCGACCTGACGAGTTCAGACTCGATTCGGAGGACGAAGCAGCTTCGAAGGGAAATCACGAGGACTTACTCAAAACAGACGAATAATTCCCAATCGGAGCTGGGCGAGCGTCAGGAATGACCGCTTTCGATCTCTGAGCGCTTCCCTGCGTGCAGCAGAAATATCATTCATCTTACGAGAGCTCGCGATCTGTTCAGACGCGAATTTTCAGGGGCGAAACTCCTAAAGTTCGCCTCTATGTGGTGACTGCCTGGTAGAATGAGAGACATGGTTGTATTCACAGGTGTGTTTACGTCGAGGGCATCGCTCCCCGGCGGATCAGCACCGAGGGGTTTTCCGATGCTTGTTCGGATATGGAATATCTTTGCGGTAGGGAGACTCGCTCTCCCCCGAGCTCAGAAAGAATGACGGCTCCCGAAATTACTTGAGTAATCAAAACACAGCCCTCTCTGTTGCTGTTTTTGCTCAGGCATACAGGTTTTATTCAGGGCGACGCGGGGAGCGCAGAGTTGAGAAGCGAGAGTTGTCGCTGCCGACGTCGACAAAACTTCGAGTCTTACAGAACGAGATGGTGGAGGAGAATTTGCATTCGATGATTCGTAGCAAGAGCGGAGCGCGGTCGGAACTAGGAAATGGGAGAGCGCGATGGAAAGCGAAACAGGAGTTACACCAGGAGTCGAGCGAACTCTACGATGTTTTCCGGGGCTCAATGTACTCGATCGCGCCTTTCCCTCTGAATGGAACGACGTCTAGCAACGTTTATCCGAAGAGACTCAGTCGAACCGTTGGAGATTCGAGCTCGGGCGATACCGCATTTTCCGCGGAAGGATCGCTCACATCAGGGAATGAGGTTGTCTAATCGTCAATTTTTTTCCTTTTTTCCGAGACCAGGGGACCGGACCATTCTTTGAGGGGCACATAGAATAACTCTGGTCTGCTCGTTCGAATGCTCCCCAGGAAACAGCCTCATCTCCAGCCGAAAGAGAAATCCACGGGAACAATCGAGAGTGGAGAGGGATCGAGGTAATTTATCCGTGTGCGCGTGCGGTTATGTGCTCTGCGCGAAGTATCCGCGATATCCGCGTTTATTGTACCGGGAAAGCATTCGGCGGAAGCTGTCGTACGATAACGCGCAGACGAGCTGCAAGTTCGCGAATCCACCGCATCACAGCTGCAGGAAGTCTACCACCAATGTTAATTTCCGCTTTGGCTTCTCGCCACATCTAATATCTTTCATTCTCTCGTCGCTGTCTGCTCCAATCTTCGAAGAGCAGCCTGATCGCAGCCCTTGATTCGGCTCAGCCTTTCATTCAGCTGAGCTCTAGGTTCGGCTCAGCCCTCGGTTTAGCCTAGTTTTAACGAGGGTGATTCCATGAAATTCACTGAGAGAAAACTCGACTGCAGCCACAGAGACTTCATCGAAGGATCTGAGTTTGCAAGGGTCTCCGCACAAGCGAAAACAAAATCCGCGAGGGTTCTGAGCATGTGCAGAGTCGCTCTCCGTAATTCATGATGGGGTCATCCGATTCTGATATTCCCATAGGGTTTTGTAGGCCC